CGTTCGTTTTGGTGACAGATATCGAACCTGGACAGGCTGGAGATCTGCGTGCCTGCAACTTGCAGTTGCACCGTGGGAAATATCGTGTCCGTCACAGCGTTTCCGTGTTCCTTGTCTCAAGATGGAACAACATTTCGCCCGGGCCCCCGGTATCCATGGTATCGGCACGCGGCAGCTCAGAGGCCTAGATTTACCTGGTCGTGGTAGCTACAGCATCCGGAGCAGAACAGAGGGTTTGGAAAAACTCAACCCTCCGGCTACGGATGGAAATTACCAAATCAGAAATTTGCGGCACGTTCTTTGAATACTATTCGCCGATGCTAACGCCCAGGCCAGCTGTATCGAGTCGTCCAGGAGACGAGAGAGAGAGAGAGAGAGACGGGCTACCTGAGGCGCGTGACATCGATTGATATTACAATTAGGTCAGTTCGTGGGCAGCAAGCGTCGCAACGCCCAATGAAAGACTAAGTGCAGCCCTCTACCCTACTGGCACTGCTCGTGGTGCAGCAGTGTCGTAAAATGAAAATAATCCCCCATGCCGTATGGCGGCGGACAAGCGCACTATGAGTATGACACAGGTTGAGGCATCAGCGATGCTATGGACTCGCCACCCAGGTAAGACGGTTCGAAGTCCCAAGACCAAGGAAAACTGTGTGTGGTTGTGCTGTAGATCATCTAGCAACTGGCATGGGGTTAGTTAGTTCAACGGAAGAGGTTCGGCGGCATACCACAAAGCAAGTACTGACTGAGTCTGTAGTGTAGCGGACATGGAAATCCAGTCGATTGACCGGGGCCGGCCGGCGCCCTCAGCGCGCACAGAACGCTGCGTCCAGTGCACAAAGTCATGATTGTTGATGACTCGATGAGATGCGCGACCAGCGCTCTGCAGCGCATAATGCATGTTCCCTTATCGACGGCTGCATGGCCAGCGCCCTGGGGCCGCTAGACGTGCTACCGGATTTCCATGTCCACGACAGTAGATATCCTTGTACATGTACATGACAGTACTGGATCCGGTGAGCCGAGTTTGCATCCCGGATGACAGAGGCGGGTCATCCGGTGTACGCAGGTCTAGGGGTGCACAGCACAAGGCCCTGCTCCTGCGCGCTTGGCATTCAAAAGCATGAAGTAATTAGTTGATCGGATGCGAAATCCAGCATTGATCGGATGCGAAATCCAGCGGTTAGGTTTTGGACATGACAAATACTGCGAACTGTGACATGTTTGCAGGCAATATCTTACCAACCACTAAAACATGTAAACTTCGAAGAACGTGTGAAATTCCCGGCAGCAGCAGAGTAAGCCTCCTGACAACTTGAAGAAATACACACTTGAATCATTGTGGCACCCTGATTGCTTGTCGACATGTAATCATACTCTATGGTAGTAGGGCAGATGCATTCTCATGATTACGGTAACGCTGGATTCACTGCTCGGCTGAGCCCAGTGTTTGCAAAACGGTCAACGGCCTTATGTTCACTTTTTCTGTGAGAAGAGTGTAAATCTTTAACACATGACAGGTTAGATTGTGACATGCATATCGTCCTCGCTGGACTCAACCGGCAGTCTTCTTGTTGGACGTTTCCTCACGCAGCTTAACCCATAGAGGGGGCAATGGATGTGAAAATTCCATTGCACTGCGTTTGTGCCAGGATAAGGGTTGCAACAGTTGAAGGTTCGCCTGGGAGAGTGTTCGTCAAAGTGTCAGGGGCGTCGGAAGGAGTTTGACATTGGTGCGGCGAAAGTGAGAGAGGGGGGTCCGGGGGTTCTCCCCGCGGGAAAAAATTTGAAAATTGGGCCTAAAAGGCCATATTTTAACGCTACAGAATAATATGAGAAATAAGAATATGCATGCTGATGATACACCGCATTGTCGATGTAAAACATGGTACCTGTACAAGTGTCGACAAGCCAACAGCAAGGTTGAAATTTTTTTTTTTTTAACTTCGAAAATTATTGGTGCGGCTTTGGCCGCAACTGTCGCACCGGTTCCGACGCCCCTGAGTGTTCGTGTGTACCCACCGCCATTTCGCTAGCTGTGCCTCTATCACCCTTATTCAACTATAATCACAGCTGCAGGAGAGTTTCAAGGAAACATTTTGAGAAGTGTGACGTTGTAGATTTCTGATACATGCAGATGCAATGCCGCGTTGTTGCCAATCTCTGCGTGATATTCTAGGAGACGCAAACCCCTTGTCTTGTCCATAGCGAGTGCTGCATCTACTGTAACAGCTGTCGTTGTGAAGCTCTGCGTTGTGTGTTCATGTATAAAGTGTGTCGACTGTTGCACTGTGCTAGTGTCCAGGAAAGGATATTCTGGTAAACATTGCCTGTGTTCAATTTCAACGTTTGTGTGTGTGTGTGTGTGTGTGTGTGTGTGTGTGTGTGTGTGTGTGTGTGTGTGTGTGTGTGTGTGTGCACTGTGCATACGTGTGTGTGTATGTGTGTGTGCATACATATGTGTGTGTGTGTGTGTGTGTGTGTGTGTGTGTGTGTGTGTCCAGACCTTGCTCTAAGGATACTTTCCCTAGTCGCGATCTGCTGTTGCAAGGCTGCGGCCGACTCTAGCTCACTGAGTACTGTCGGCAGTGTCGTACACGTCATCAACGCTACGCTGATTGCAAATGAGACGGTGAGGCCAGGTCAGATTAGCTGCTACCACGACACAACAATGGATACGGTTGCGCTGGGCACCAACAGTACATTTGTGTTCCTACAGGTACTGAATCACCAGACTAGCATCGTACAGCTCAGCTCATCACCATATCTCACACATAAGTTTACTCCCGATGATGACGACAGCCTGATACTCTGCCAGGCTATTGCAAGCCCGCACCTAGCAGCCCTGCATGAGCATTACACCCAGTTCTACTCGACTCTGCCACCTGTGTACAGGCTAAAGGTTCTATGTAAGTACCCGCGCATGTGTATGCGTGTGTGCAGTGTGTGTGTGTGCGTGTATCTGTGTGTGTGTCTGTGTGTGTGTGTGTGTGTATGTGTGTGTATGTGTGTGTTTGTGTGTGTGTATATGTGTGTGTGTGTGTTTATGTGTGTGTGTGTGTGTGTGTGTGTGTGTGTGTGTGTGTGTGTGTGTGCGCGCACTTAAAAAAAGATCTACCCAGCTGACCCTGAACAGAATAGATAAAGAGGATAACAAGTGTACATTGTCTATCTTGTTTGCAATGCTCTTTTGAAATAATCTCACCGTGGACAGAGGCGTAGCTGGTACCGTTTTAGGGGTGGGGGGGGGGGGGGGGTGCACGGCCGCATATGTGTAGGATGGCTGGTGCATGTCACTCATGGTCATTACGTGCATGCTGAACCTAGGTTGAAAATTTGTTGGGGGGGGGGGGGTGCACAATGCGGGTTACGAGCCACGATTGATCTTTGTTGGAAATGTGCATTTGTTGAGTTGCAGTATTTCAAATACTTCGGACTTGATATTCTTCACCATGGTCAATCATGAGTGTGTTATGGCTGGTGCTAAAGGATACGTCCCTTTCTCCTATTATCCCTAATGGTGCTGGCAGAGTTACCTTGATTGATGGACTAGCTTGGCACTGGCACCATCACCGTCTGTACTCTCTTCATTCAGCTCTGTTTCACGCACTTACCTAGGGTACCCTATAAAAAGACTTATAGTCTGTGGTGATTGCCCCAGTAAAATAATATAATACTTTTACTAATACCGTATTTTACCGGTTGTAAGTCGACCCCGTATCCGGAGGTCTCAATTTTGCGTTTTAAAGCTTTCACCCAACAAAGCGCTACTAACCACTCCCTGCTACTAACATATCAACAAATCATGTAAACATTCCTTATTATTATTATTATTATTATACGCATTCCCGCGGCAGCGTCAACCAACCAGTTATGCTTGATCCACACGTTCGCTTATGCTGGACATTGAAACTAAGCAGATGTAGACAGCTCCTAGAGAATGGGGCTCTACAAAACCAATGATCGAAGTTAGTACTTCAGTAACATGGAGCGTCATAAAATTGGTCTCATTGGGAAAAATGTCATCATTATTGTCTCCTCATGTAGCATCATGGCCTATGGGTGGCCAGATAATACGTATGAGGTTGAGTTGCCAGATAATTATTTTGAAAAGATTCAAATAGTAATATTATTATAGAATGGTTGTTATGAGTTTATACGGGTGCCATGGCTGTTTCTACTCGTGACGAGAGTGTGCACAAACACTCTTCACCAGCGTGTTCCATGCTGGACGGTCCACAGCAATCCGCTCCAGACGGCGCAAGTCCTCAACACTCCGCAGGTGCCCATTGTTCGACTGGGACAGATCGGTGTGGAGCTATATTGGTAGTGTCACCCTCGGCCTCCCACGGTACCTCCCCTCGGGTGCCTGAAAGTATTGTTCCGTGCTCAATCGTGCTGGCGTGTCCTTACCTAGGCGAAGCACATACCCGAATAGACTCCAGCGTGAATTTCGGATCAAGTCCGACAGTGGCTCCACTCCACATCGGGCATACAACGCCAAATTACTAATCTTCTGTGGCCATGTGATGCCGAGCAGTGACCTGAGCTGCCTTCTATGGAAAGCGTCCAGGGAGCGTTCGCTAGCAACCGTCAGGCCCCAGGTGCCTGAATTATAGAGAAGTATCGGCATGATAAAGGCGCAGTACAACCTCATACGCAGAGGCTCTCGGATCAGTCCTCGGCGCTTCCAAAGAGACCACATGAATCGGATGGCAGCCTCGGCCAATTGCCTGCGACGTGTCACATCCTCAATGTCGCCCAGGATTGAGCCCAGCTTTCGGGATGTCCTCCAGCGCTCGTCAATTCTGTCTACAGATCGACCCAACTCTGTCCACTCAGTTTTGGTGCTGTTGACTCTCAGGGCCCACTGCCTGAGAGTGTGGTCTATGATCGGTTCGAGCTCTGTGAGCCATTGACGACTAAGGCTTATGAAATCGGTGTCATCTGCGTAGACAAGTTGTGTTGGTCAGCAGCACTCTGACCAGCCGAACATCATCCTCCGTCAGGAAGGACTCGAGAACTGTCAACAGTTTGTCACGACGTATACAGTCGAATGCTTTGGACATTCCTTATTGGAGGGTATAATGTCCCAATCCTTAAAGGCCAATAAACTGGCAGAAATGTGTACACATGGTGCACTCGTGCATGCAGTGCAGGTCATTTTTTGTAAGATACTGATACTGTACATACAAAATTTCGGCGCTGCAAAATTTCGGCACTTCACGATTTTTGACATTTCGGCGGCGATTTATTTTCGGCGTGGGGTAGAGGGCATGGTATAGTGCGACAGATGCTGCGAAAAATTTCATCAGCGTTTTAATTTAGGCGTTTTGGGTCGGTGCCGAATATAGCCGAAATTAAATAGCTGCCGAAAATTTGTATATTTACAGTAGTTCCTGGTTATAAAATCGGTTGTGGCAACAAACGCGATTAGGCCGGCTGCAGGGACGCCGTAATGTCGCACTCGCCCCAGCACCATTCAAACAATTCCCTTTGGCAGTTCACGGCACGAACTTCAACAAAGCCCCGTGAATGCGTACCAGGGGAAGGCTAGACAGCATGTCTCTAGACATCAATAGGCATCGTATGAAAAGCCAGTCAATAGCACTAAAGAGCGAAAGCCTTTGTCACGGTTCGGTTTCACTCGCGCACCGGGCCCGAGCTGGCAGCACAAACAAACGCCAGACGCGAGCTGGCAGCACAAACAAACGCCGTACTCACACGAGCGTTGAGCGAACGGATGGCCACAGCCATCAAAAACAGGAACAAACCCATCCACGGCTCTTTCTCTTGCTAGCTGTGCTGCTGCGTGCATCCAACTGTTTTGCAATTTCTCCCTCCCACCCACGCCTCCTGGTATTTATTATCGCTCTACACTATCCTACGTCTCACAATGAGTGCCACTCAGCATGATGGTACTCCAAGCTACATTGTATTTGATCTGTCCTAGCTCACTATTCTGGACAAAATATTAATTCAATTGCAATGAAGCGCCGGGGGCCGGCGGGGGCATTCGGCGGCTTGGTCTGATTCCTAGCTTGTTGGTAACCGGCTTGAGATTTCCAAGGTTGCTATGACAACGTGCAGTCATGCGCAGGGCCACCCAACATGCATTTGGGGGCCCAGGAAAGACAGAAATGCGTTGCTAGGCAACAGCAAAAGCGCTCGGCGAGTATCACGCTACTCATGCAGCACGCACGTTGGCTTAGGGTATCACGCTACCCTTGCGCTGCGGGGTACCACATTGCCCCTCGCTGGAATCAGACCCGCGCCCCGGATACCTTGCGCTGGCCTCCTGACGGCCAAACTCAACCAACTTGTGCGCTGTGACTGGGGTTGTGCATGTATTAGCAACATAATGTGGCCGAGGTCGGCAGACTTTCAATTAGCCAAGCGAGCTACTCAGGCCAGGGTGCATGATCACTATTCGCAGCACTTATCGTCCATGCAGCAGTCGGGTTAAGTCGAATCCCGGTTGTAAGTCGACCCCCACCCTTTCTCCCTCTATTGCTAGTCGTAAAGGTCGAGTTACAACCGGAAAAATACGGTACTCTCCATACATAGCGAGAATGCAGTGAGCAGCGGTGTATAAAAAAAACATGCAAGAACATAATAATTATTGTGAGCTTTTTCCCTCTAATTTACAGTCATAAGAGATTAGGACCAGTCCGGATACCGTGTTGAGTGAGACATTCGCATCCATTCCAGTGCACACCATAAACCTAGAGCATGAAAATAGTTCTCGCAACGCACACAGTTTGCAAGTACTCAAATGCATACAAGCTGTTACCACATTGGGTTTGAAAATCGTAACGTCAGACATAAATAAAGTAGCGACTTTGGAGTCCAAGCGGATTCACACCGCTCTAGTTTTCTGTGAGAAACGGTTCGTGCAACGAGAGGACTTTTCCTGATTCTCTGCAAAGGCCTGCAATGCTGACCCGCATGCATTGCCTGATGTACCACGCGGGGCTAGATGGCAGTCTGCCACGTGACTCTTTGTGTGTACTATTTTCTGCTGTGCTCCAGATCCGGTTACGTTTGACTCTGCAAAGCACACAAAAAACCCCGAGCCAGAACCACTGGCTAGGATTCAGTGTCCCTACACTGGCTCAGAGCCGGTCAACTATCGGTTCCACATGAACAATGTGGGTCCGTACGGTTGCGATCACCCGTGTACCAGCTGCAATTACTCCGACAGCTGCTACGATGTAGTGAGCATCGAGCAGCAGCAGGCATGCCACGCGGCTCGTGATTCAGACTGCTTTGAACACACAGACCGTGAAGACACAGTTGTCATCAAGTTTGGCTGTTATGGGTGCATGACGTGCAGTGCCACCAACGTCGTGAATGGAACGGAAACAACAGCCGAATGGAGCTACATGCTCTCCAAGCCAAGACGTGGGTTCTTTGTTCCTCTATCATAGTCCATTTCTTTCTTTTCTTTCTTTCTTTCTCTCTCTCTACTTCTCTCTCTTCTCTCTCTACTTCTCTCTCTCTCTCTCTCTCTCTCTCTCTCTCTCTCTCTCTCTCTCGCTCGCTCGCTCTCCTTCTCTCTCTTTCACATACACACACGTGCTCTCTCTAACTCTTGTACCCTGAGCTTTTCTTGTTCCCCTCCTTTTCATTCAATCTGTTCACGAGGTAGTTCTCTGCCTCCAACACACACTGTGTGTGTATATGTGTGCACATGCACGAGCATGTGTGTGTGTGTGGGGGGGGGGGGGGGTGTGCTGTGTGTGCATTTAGCTATTCTTATTCTTTCCTCATGCTTGCTGCCGAGCCTCTGTCCTCGGTTACCCATTTTTCCCTTTCTGCCAACCTCTCACCCTCTACTTATGTAGATTCTGAGATTGCACCCTGCACACCAACAGATGACATCACCACCAGGTTTCTCATCGAGCCGCCGATCATCACACCATCATCAAACGTAACGGTGGGAATACCTCTGGTGAACATCACGTTCCACTACACCTGTCGCAACTTCACCAAAATCAATCTACACCATGGCAATGAACGGATCTCTGTGTCTGCCACAAACATTGACCGTCACTAGTAAGTCTGACTGCACCTTATGTTGCCCTAAACCTTGGTAGGAAGATCAGCGCTTTAGCCGAGTGATTGTGGGCTTGCCTGCGAATCACAATGTCCCGGGTTCGAGACCCGCGCTGGGAGCAGGGAGCGTGTACTGCGTTATCACATGCGATGGCGCATTCGTGAACCACTTCACATGCAATGAACTGCACCGACACCCATGCTCAACTGGGTACTCACTACTGGGAGTGCGGGTAACATGGACGCAGCTAACGAGGTTCACCCCCTTATCGAGCATTGGCTGTGAGACTTACCACCTCACCTTTGCCGTTTACGGCGCAGCATCAGCCACCCTGGTGTAATCAGGCATTGTGGTGACAAGGCACGGGCGAAACTTCTCTAAGCTGGTTGTGTTTCTCAACACAACTGTATGCCGGTTGTAACGCGTATGTGCGAACTTTACTTTATTTCAATTTTTAACATTTTGGTATTGGTAAATATGCCCCATCCACCATCACATGTAGCAGAGCTCAAAGGAGACAGAAGCGGAAAGGTTGGCATTGCTGCCCTGTACGCTACCTGGTTTATTATTATTGTTATTATATGTAGATCCTTGGTATCTCACAACGAAGCATATCTGCGGAGGCCAGCTTAGTTTATAGGCTTCTTCCTTTGGGGGAATCCATCAAATAACGTTATAATCATGAGAAGCTGTGACTGGTGGTAGTCATCCCCGCACAGTTGGTATTTCTTGTTATGCTAGCTCCAAACTTACTCAATCTGCGGACAGAACTGTTTCGTCCTTTGTGGACTCATCAGCGCTGCACAGATGAAATGAGGCCGAACCTGATAGCAATAAAAAATTAAAATTTCCAAAGCCCGATTTACACCAGGCCCGAACGTACCTTGCCATAGTGCTCAAACGGACAAGCCAGTGAGCTCAGTAGCTCCAAACTTAGATATGTAGGTGTTAGGTTTCTTGAGCTTTCTGAACTTTCCATCAATACCGTGGCACTCAAGATCATCAGTCACCGCAGTTTTGGGAGTGAAATGTGTTCTGTCCGTTTAAGACTAGTGGCTTGTTGATGGACTGTGATGCTCGGAACTCGGAACAGGGAAAGTGCGTAACGTTACGATTCCTCTCTGTATGCAGTATATCTGTAGTGTTATAACTTACTCCTATGACTGTGATGGTGAGACTATGGCACTGCGCACACTCTAACTTAGCCCATGTCTACGTGCACTGCTGTTGCATTTGTGCTGTGCTTGCACAATCTGTACCCGTCTCGTGTACAGTATGAAGTACAACAACACCATCTCCTTCATGAAGTGCATATTCAGCACGACCTTGATCATCTCCCGTCCGACGGTAGATGATGACGGAATTTTCTACTTTGACTTTGACTCTGACATGACATCGCAGGACAACCACCACTATGAGAATGTGACACTGCATGTCACCAGTAAGGTCAGGGTGTTCACACAGTGACTTTCATTGCACACACACACACACACACACAGAAACACAGTGGGTATGCAAGGGTATTTTTCATCAGTTGCATGCACACAGAAACACAGTGGGTATGCAAGGGTGTCATTCACACAGAAATACCGTGGGTATACCATTGGATGTGAGACACATGGGTACCCAGCAGTCCTCGCTACAAACGTTCCCTGGCTTTGGATATTGAAGAGTGCAAAACGTGTACAGTCGTCCCTCTCTAATCCGGCACTTTATAATCCAGCACCCTCGATAAACCGGCACAATTTTCAGTAGCCAAATGTCCTCTTCATGCACATTGCAGCAGTAGATCAGATTTGTTAATCCAGCACCCTCCCTAATCCAGCAGATTTTCGTGGCACAAATGGTGCCGGATTATAGAGGGACCACTGTACCTCCAAATGATTGCCAAAAGTTGTCCGTAATGTGCCAATGCTTTCAATAGCAAGCGAAGTCTCCTTT